AGGGTTTAGGGTTTAGGGGTGTCGCGTTTGTTGGGTTGGGGCCGCCGTCGAGATCCTAAGCCAGTCATGCCAAGGCCGGCCCTCTTAACGCAATCTCGTGATGAATGACCCCGCAGCCAACCCGCCTAATCTAGGGGCCTAAATGATGACCTATATTATTTTGGGGGTTCCTTATTGTAGTTATAGCATAATGGGCCCCAAAACTCTATTCCATATAATTATTATGGCCCCTACATTATGCAACCCTCTTATGGTAGATCCCTTATAGAACCCTTTAAAGGAGCCCCTTTACGGATCCCTTTAAAGGAACCCTATTCTAGTTATGAAGGCTTCTACAGGAAACTGTTTGGGAGGTCGCCTCTAAGTCGGGCTCCTGCGGTGGACGATCTGTGTAGTACTGGGTGCTACTGTTGATGATAGAAATCCTGAGCCTTACCTTAATCCTAAGGCTCTGAGGACTCATATTTTCAGGCTTTTGGGCCCAAAGACCATACTATATAAGGCTTTTGGGCTATTTTGAGCTAACGGGTTAAGGACCCTAAGCCATGGGGATTACGGGTATATTCCTTATTATGGGGTAATGCAGATTTATATCATCAACCGTGGTACTGAGTAGTAAAGTGCTGGATCTTGAACTTCCCAGAAAGCCCAATACCCCGTAATCAAGGAATATATGCCTTAAATCATAGGGGCCTTAATGTTATGATTTAAGGTATATTCCTTAATCAAGAGATATTGGGTTCTCTGGGTTCTTGCATTCTCCTATAGGGTTCCCCTATAAACCCCGAAGGGCCCCGTTCCTAACCCCGCAGTTTTTTGGGTTATTCTATATTGGCTTGGACGTGTTTATAAGGGGGTATACAAGCCCTAGATACTAAACCTTAAACCCTAAACCCAAATCCAAAAAAAACAAGCCCTTCCCGAAACACCTGCCAGGTGCGCAATGGCCACATCAAGCGTCTCACAGACCCGAGACCCTAACGCCCCAAAAACTAAAAGCTTGAAGCCTAGACCCCAAATCCGTTTACGATATAAATCCTTAGCACTACCCTAATGACCCTAAGCTATGTGATTTATGATATGTTCAGTATTATGGGCAATGCAGGATTTATATCATCAACCGTATCCAAAACCCTAAACCCTAAACCCCAAGTCCCTAAAGCACTATCCCTAAAGCGCCGTAATCCCTAAACCCCAAACCCTAAACCCTAAACCCTAAGCCCTAAACCCTAAACCCTAAACCGTAATCCCTTAAACCCTACGAGTGAAACCCGCCAGTGGCGCACCACCGCC